TCTCTCATTTTATGTCCCTGCTCCGCTGCGCAGTATATCTGTCCGGATAAAGAGTTACAGTCCGCTGGGCTACGTGCACGGGGTTGTAAAAAATACAGATGCCAAATTAACTGGCTGTGGCACTCGGCAGCTGATTGAGCTGATAATGACGCGATCTGACCTTTTTCTAATTTCTAATTATGTGCATCTCGGCAGGGCTGGTGACATGATTCTTGTTCTAATGACAGCCACCCCCCCGCCACCCCCCGCTGCCGATGGCCTCTTCACACGCCCCTCCTGGAGTAGGACCTGGACCACAAGGTGGGTGGCAGAGGGTACCGCTTGGCTCTCCAAGTCTAGCTTCACAGCAAACCCAGAGGTGAGATGCCCCTCAGCGCTGGGTAGACGGGGCTTCTGGACACCGGCAGGAGAAGGCCGTGTGGCCCTATGGCCATCAGGTGCCCTTGGCTACATGTGCAGGGCCCAGGGGTGTGGCCGGGTGAGCAGGTCTGACAGGCTGGGTGAGGGCCTGGGTGCGCGCTTAGCTCTGCCACGTGCAGACGGTTCATGGCCAGACCCGTAGGCCTGGGGCTCCTGGCTCCAAGGACTCACTTCTCCGCTGCTGTCCTGACGCTCTGACCAGCAACACTCACTGGAGCCCTGGGGAGCGGGGCACGGGTCAGGCTCTGCTCCGACCAACTGGGGATGACGAGGGGCACATCCCCCTGCCCCACCCCACAAAGGCCAGGGCTGATCCACCCTCAAACCATGGCCCCGGGTGTTGACTCTGCAGCGTCCTGGGGGGCCCTAATGGACCCCGTGAAGCCCCACTCGGCCCTGCAGGAAGCTGGAGCAGATGTCCACAACATGGGACAACCCCCAAGTCACTTCTGGCTGCTCTGCCATGTGCATGGTTGGGTGGGTGAGGGGCACATATGTGCATGTGTGTATACATGCATGTGTCGCCTCTTCTTTCCTTCCTTGGGGGCCACGTTTGCTTCTCTAGTGCTCTTGACCTCTGGGGCTTGTGAAGCTGTGAAACTAGGGGTGGGAGAAGTCAGCACCGTGACGGGTGCACGTGTGGGGATTGGAGGGCAGGGGTCCTAGTGCATAGTTGAGGGAGCCCCCGGAATGCGGAGACCCATTTCCAGACTGCCGAGATGAAGCACGTCCATGCTCCCTCACCCTCAGGAGGAACCCCTGGGCTAGACAGTCAAGTTCAGGTCCAGCCGTTCCGCCCCCAGGTCAGTCAGGGGCCCAGAAGGCGCCAGCCAGCCTGGTAGGCTCCCCGGGGGGGTGGGGGGAGGTCCCTAGGGCCTAGAATGCACGGCTAGGAAGCAGCTCTCAGAACCACACCCACACCATGGGAAAGTAACGCGGAGACCCACTACACTGGGTCATGGCCACAGAACTCCACCACACCACACTTAGTCACGGCCACGTGGAACCCCAACACACCACGGCCATGTGGAACCCCACCACATCACGCTTAGTCACGGCCCCACAGAACCCACCACGCTTAGGTTCCTCCATGCTTAGACTCTTTCACACTTAGACACAGCCACGCTTAGTCACGACAGTGCGGAACCCCCACTGTGCTTAGTCTCCGCAACACGGAACCCCACCACGCTCAGTCACGGCAATGCGGAACCCCACTATGCTTAGTGACTAAAGATGGGAGCCCTGAAGACTCAACCAGTAATAACCACTTCTGTGACTTCCCTGCTAAGGACTTTAGAGAGGGAATGTTGGGGCTGCTTAAGGAGCGCAGAGAAACATGGACCGAACAGTTGGCAAACACAAGAGGATGTGAGGGCAGAAATTAGGAAACAACAAGCAGAAACGACTAAACTTGGTGGGTGACATGAAAGTCTCACTGGAAGGTCTCAGCAACAGAGTAACAGCAGCTGAAGACCAACATCAGTGAACGCCAAGACGAGATGCAGCAAACCTCCAAAGAACAGCAGAAGATGGGAAAAGACTCAGAATACATGAACAGTAGGCAAGAGAGCTCTGGGCTGAACTTAAGAGGAATGACGTAAGAATCACGGGAGGACAGGAAGGTGACCCTCAGGAAGAAGCGACAGTCCAAGACATCATTCTGAGGGTGTCCCAGAGCTGGAGGGGGTAGGATGTGTCCTCATCAGAATGAGGAAAGTCATGGGGGGGGGAGAGAGAGAGAAAGAGAGAGAGAGAGAGACAGAGACAGAGAGAGAGAGAGAGAATACTGAAGGCACAAGATCAAAGAAAGAAATCACATACACAGGAGCACTGATAAGATGTACAGCAGATTTATCATACGAGCCCCAAGACAATGGCAGAACATAGTTTAAGAAAACTCAGTGAAATGAACACCTCACCAAGAACACTTTACCCAGCCAGACTCCCATTCAGATCTGGAACAAGATGCAACTTCATGGCTAAACAACAGCTAAGGACTGTCATAGATTCAAAACTATCTCCACAAGAAGAACTAAGAAACCTACTCCATGACACACAACAAACTTCTACAGAAAGATGGCACAAAACGCCACAACAATAAACTCACTCAATGTCAATGGCCTGAATGCACCAATTAAGAGACACAAGCAGGATAGATTAGAAAACTGAATCTAACCTTCTGCTACTTAAACACATTTGAATAGGAAGGGCAGACACAGACTCAAAGTCAAAGGTTGGAAGACAATATTTCAAGCAAACAACCCCCATAAAAAGGCTGGGGTGGCTGTACTGGTATCAGGTAACATCGACTTCAGGATAAAAAAGTTATAAGACTAAGAGAAACATTTCTTAATGATGAAAGGATGTACATCAGGAAGAATTCACACTCCTGAATCTATATGCACCGAAAGAGGGACCAGCAAAATACATAACACAACAGTTAACATACTTGAGGGAAGACATTGATAACATGGCCGACCTGAGTTCGATTCCTCTGTCCCTCTCGGAGAGCCCAGCAAGCTACCGAGAGTATCTCGCCCGCACGGCAGAGCCTGGCAAGCTCCCCGTGACGTATTCCATATGCCAAACACAGTAACAACAAAGTCTCCACTGGAGACGTTACTGGGCCCGCTGGAGCAACAGCACGATAATAGTTGGAGATTCCAACACCGCCCTATCACTACTTGATAAATCAACTAGACTAAAACTCAGCAAGGAAATACTGGACTTGTAGGAAGAAATGGAAGAGAGGGGACTTAGCAGAAATATACAGGGCTTTTAACCTCCCCCCACGCAGAATACACATTCTTCTCCAAGGCACACAGGACATTCTATGACAGACCACGTGCGAGGCCACGACACATACCTCCATAAAGTCAAGAGCATAGAAATCCTATCAACTATATTCTTAGATCATATTGCTCTGAAAATAGATGGTAACCACAAACAGAAACAGAGAAACAGCTGAAACACCTGGAACATTAAAAAAAAAAACAGTGGGTCAGAGAGGAAATCAGAAGATTCCTGAAAACAAATGAGAGTAAGGACATGAATTATCAGAATTTGTGGGACACAGCAAAAGCGGTGTTCAGAGGGAAGTTCATAGCTCTCCAAGTATTTATCAGGAAGGGTAACCTAACAGCACAGCTTGAGAAACTGGAAAATAACTCACAAGGTGAGTCCAAAGAAGACAGGAGGAAAACTATAATAAGACTGAGGGCAGAAATTAATGAATTGCAATCAAAGAAAAAAAAAAGATCAATGAAACCAACAGCTGGTTCTTTGAAAAAAATAAACAAGACTGATAAACCACAGCGGTAGGGTGTTTGCCTTACAAGCGGCCAACATGGCCAACCCGAGTTCGATTCCTCCGCCCCTCTCGGAGAGCCCGGCAAGCTACCGAGAGTATCTCGCCCGCACGGCAGAGCCTGGCAAGCTACCCATGACGTATTCAACATGCCAAACACAATAACAACAAGTCTCATGATGGAGACGTTACTGGGCCCGCTCGAGCAAATCGATGAACAACGGGAGGACCGTGACCGTGATAAACCACTAGCAAGATGCAGAGAGAGAGAAAGAGAGAGAGAGAGAGAGAGAGAGAGAGAGAACCTAATTAACTACATCAGAAATGAGAGGGATAGATACCACAAAAATCAAAGGATCATGGGCTGGAGTGCTAGCACAGTGGGTAGGGCGTTTGCCTTACATGTGGCCGACCCAGGTTCGATTCCCAGCATCCCATATGGTCCCCCGGGCACCGCCAGGAGTAATTTCTGAGTGCATGAGCCACGAGTAACCCCTGTGCATTGCCAAGTGTGACCCAAAAAGCAAAAGAAAAAAAAATTCAAAGGATCAGAGAGTACTTGATGCCATGAAACGAGAGAACCTATAAGAAATGGATAACTTCTTGAATTCCTTCTAGAACCTCCAAAGGCGGGACCAAGATGATGGGGAATACTTATCACTGTTAAGGAAATTGGAATGGTAACCAAAAGTCTTCCCTGAAGCAAAAGCCAGGGCCCGGGCGGATTCACTGGTGAGCGGTTCCAACCCCATAAGGAGACCCCTGCCAGGGCGGTCCACACCTCCCTGCTGCTACACAGGACCCCACGGAGCTCCGACCAACGCAGACCCCAGGCCCCAGCAAGCCATCAGGTGGGGCTCTGCATCTGAGAAGGGGGTGGAGGCCTGGGGGGGACTCACTGGTTTGGGGACCCTGGTCTATGGTATGGCTCTGCATTTTGGGATGGGCTCTGCTGCCCCCAACTCCCATGTGACTGGTGCTCCAGCCCTTCTAGCGAGGTGCAACCAGGCCTCGTGCCCCCATCTGCCAAGTGCACTCCCGTCTGCTGTGTGGTAGCATGTGCCAAGGGGTATCTTATTGCCACAGGGCCTGACTGGTCAGGACTGATGTGGCTCTCCCTGCTCCCACCCACCCTGCCACAGGAGCAGTCTTTGGGGTGGGGGGGCAAAGGGGGGTGGGCCTGGCCAGAGAGGGAAGCCAGGAAGGCATCCAGACGGACGCAAGGGCGATCTGCAGTGTGCGGGGTGGGGGTGCAGGGACTGAGGCTCTCTACCAGATTGTCCAGCTCCGGGTCATCGCTGAAGAAGGGCTTGTGCTCCTGCTCCTGCTGGTGGACGAAGTTCTCGATGTCCACGTCGAAGCTGGCCGAGGTGATGCATTCGGAGCCCTGCGTGGCCTGCTCGCACTTCTCAAACAGCAGCGTCAGGAGCGGGAAGAGGGGGTGCCTGCGGGGACAGGGAGAGCTCAGGCCAGGCCGCACCAGCCGCACCCCACGGGGACTTGCTTTACTCTTTGCTCAGAGCCGCAGGGGTGGGGAGGGGAGGGGGTCCCCATCGGGCAGGAGGAAGGTGACCAAGGGGCAAGGCAGAGTCTCGGCCACTTCATCTGTCTCGCTCACAGCCTCTGGGCTCCCGTCCTGCCCTCTTTTGGGGGGGGGTCACGCCTCGTCTTCACAGCCCCCACAGCACCCAAGGGAGGAAGCCCTGTGGTGTGTACCCCCGCCCCCCGAACCTGCAGCCCCACCACAGACCCCTGACTACCTGCTTCCCCTGACCGGGAAGCTTCCTGTCCAGAGCCCAGCAGAGAAGCATGGATATTTATGGACATGCGTGGACGTGTGTGTGTGTGCAGTACTGTGTCTGTTCCCATGAGGGCATGTCCCTGAGTCCTGGGGCACGTATGACCCACCATGCCCGTGTCCAGTCCCTGGGCTCAGCTCCACACATCCCTGTCTGCTCCCGGTCCTGCCCACAGCGCCTGAAACCTGCCCCCTGTTTCCCACTCAGCCTCACTGGCTGGCCCAGGAGGGTGTGTGCGGGCCCCGAGCCCCGGGACCTAACCCAGGGGTGTTCATCGTTCCCCAGCAGAACAGATGGCCCCAGAGCTGACCCAGGGCCACTATCACAGGGCATCAGGACCCCTGAAATAGGGCTGCTGTGTCCGGCCGCCACATGCACAATCCTGGTCACGTTAGTGCCAGGTTGATGGGCACAAAAGGCTCCTGGCTACCATTGGGGAAGGTCTGCAGAAGGCGCGGGAGGAGTGAGAGGAAAAACAGCCCACGTGCCCCTGGCACCATTCTAGAACGCCAGGAAATCCTGCCACCAGCCGACACGGGGTTTGTAGATAAAGGGGTGGGGAGGTCAGAGCCCCGCTCTAGGGTTCTAATAATTCCAGCCGGGGGCTGGAGCGATAGCACAGCGGGTAGGGTGTTTGCCTTATACGCGGCTGACCCGGGTTCGATTCCCAGCATCCCATATGGTCCCCCATCACTGCCACAAGTGATTCCTGAGTGCAGAGCCAGGAGGAACCCTGGTGCATGGCCAGGTGTGACCCAAAAAGAAAAAAAAATCCAGACAGAAAGGCAAAAGGTACTTAGCCCAACCGGCACTCAGGGCTACCCGCGGGCTTGGGGGGGGGAGCCCTGGACACCCACTCCCCACCTTGTTGAGAACTGACATGTCAACAGCTGGACCCACAGCTGTAGGAGAGGGAGAGGGGACCTGGGTCTTGGGCAGCCCTAACCTGCTAGAAAGATCTCCCCAGCCCTGCCGGAAGCGGCTGGGGGAACAATGGGTGAAGACAAAGAGGAAAGCAGGGGAAGGGGTTAAAGTCCGGCCTAAGTCTTCATTCGCAGCCACTAATACCGCCGCATATTATAGTCTAATCTAACCTGATCCCAGTTTAATGCGAGCCTCTCCTGGCCCTGAGCGGAATACCAAGGCGAGCCTCGGTGGCTGTAATTGAAGCAGAGCCCTGCAGTGGTTTCGCTGGGGGACATGAAAGGCAAATTCCAGACGGTGTTATGAATCACTGCGCCTTATGAACCTTCCTGCTCTCAGCAGATGCTGCTGCCATTTAAACAGCCACTAGATCAATTAGGAGTGAAAGGCACAAATCGGCACCGTACAAGGGCGCTAAATTACCAGGAACTAATAATCCGCAGCCCCGGACCAGCTGGTGGGGGCGCAGCCCCCGCCCCAACCTCCAGGCAGCCACCGGTCACCCCGCTTCCTTCCTGGCTGGGGGCGCGGGCTGGGGGGGGGGGTGGAACGGGCTATGTGCGCCTGCGCGGGTCAGAGTGTGCCCGGGCGGGAGGCAGCGCTGTGTGAGGGTGCAGGGTGTTGGCATGGAGTGCACACGGCCACGTCCCTGGGTCTGTGCTGTGTGCTGAGTGTGTGAGTGTGTGTGTGTGTGTGTTTCTGCATGTGTGTACACACGGCAGTGTTCCTGGGTCTGTGCTGTGTGTGTGTGTGTGTGTGCGCACGCGCGCACATGCACACACAACAGTGTCCCTGAATTTATGCACTATGTGTCTGTGTGGTGTGTGCACACACACTGGCAGCAGCAGTGAACAGAGTGTGCCCGTACCTTGTCAGCCTGCTGTGTGTGTGAGATGTGTGACACCCCCACTCTCTCATACACACTCACACACACATTCGCATATACATAACACTCTCACATGGAGTCATACACGCTTATATACTCACTACATACCCTCACTCACACTCCCAGTGCCCTGCAACACATTAGCACACTCACACATGCTCCCAGACGTGCTCTCACATACCCTCTCACACACCCACACAGCCACAACACTCATACGTGCTCATACACACTTTCTTACACACCTGATTTCGCAGATACTTTCACACTCCCTTATACACTGTCACAATGCTCACACACTTTTTCACATACCCTCCGTCACACACACATGCTCTCACAATGCTCTGTCACACACTGTCACAACACAAATGCTCACATTCCTTTTCACACACACATGCTCTCTCACACACTATCAAACACTGTCACATACTCCCTCTACACAGTCACAATGGTCACACTTCCTCACATACTCTTTCTTCTCTCTCACACACATGCTTACAGACATGCTCTCACATACCCTCTCATACATTCACACATACACACAGTCACAACACACACATGCTCACATGCACTTTCTCACATTCACAGTCACACACACTCACTCATACATACACACTCGTACACATTTATTCACACACACTTTCTCACACATATACTCACATCTACACATTCTCACACACTTATACTCATACACACATACATAATCACACTCACATATACACACTTTCACACACTCATGCACACACACACATGCTCACACACATTCACATATACATACATACACTCACATACACACACACACACACTCACACACACCTGTTCCCTGTTCCTCATGAGAAACAACCTGGCCGTGGGGCTGCCAGAGGCTCTTCCCGCAGACACACCCGCAGACACGACAGCACATCCCCAACCCCCAGGCCTCTGCTGCGGGTCTTCCTGTAGGCAGTGATGAAGGGAGGGAGCAGGTGGGCTGGCACCTGCCATCTGGGATGGAGAGCCCCTGCAGGCCCGTGTGGGTGGAGGTGCCAGTTGGGCCTGTCCTCCTTGGCCTTCCCCGAGCCTCAGTTTGTCCAGCTGGAAGATGGGCTGAGGGGCCTCCCCCTACCAGCTCTCTCCCAGGCTCCTCAGACCCTTCAAGGCCAGACGGGGGTGCTGCCACGGGGTGCCAGGGCCCAGGTGGTGCAGAACCAGACAGGCAGGCCGGCACCAGACCTCACTTCCAGAGCGCCGAGGGTATGTGACCTCCACGGGGCAGCCGCCTCCCTGCCGGTCCCGCTCCCTCTCCTGGCCCTACTCCTCAACACCCTCCTCCCTGCCCCCCGCCCCCCGCACACCGCCTCCCTCCTGACCGCCCCCTCCACCCCAATCTCTCTTAAGCCGTTCAAAATTTGGAGGAAATAAATCTCACGCACTAATTCAGCGCGAGTTTGAGCCTTGCCAGCGCAGAACAAATAAAAGGAGTGAACCGGCATGACATTTTACGGCAGGAGAGGTCGTTCCCAGCCACTAATAAAAAGGATTTGACACAGACTAATAAAGAGACATGAATTTCTCTAATGGCCTAATTTAGCACATTCAGCACTGTTCCCGGGCGCTGGGAGGGCGGGCGCGGGGCCCTGGACCCACTCGGGCTGGCAGCAGAAGGCGGGGACGGGGCAACGCTTCCCTCGTCCCCGCCCCGCCCCACTCCCCTCTCCTGGGCACCAGCTCGCAGTCCAGCGGTGCCTGTGAGGACCCCGAGAAATTAAGGCCAGAGCAGCTGAGGGAGGCGACTCCTGAAAGGGGCAATTCCTCCTGACATATTGGCTTTCCTGCCCACCGGGCAGGCTGGCCTGCAGTGGCCCCTGGGGGCCAGGATGCAGGGGGCCGCCATGCTGGGACAAGGGCTACGGTGCCCGCTGGGCTGGGGGTGGACCCTCTCCAACTGCAGAGAGGCCTCTCTGGATGGAGCCCACGCCCCGCTTCTGGAAACTTCCCGGGGGGGAGGGCGCGGTGGGGTGAGCACAGAAGGTGTCCAGCCCGCTGCCCAGGAGCCCACTGCCCTCTCCGGCTGCCCCTCCTCGGGACCCCGGGGGACTTGAATCTCCTCCAGCCTCCACTGGGTCCTTTGCTGCTCCAGACACTGCAGGAGGTGGAGAGGCCTCAAGCAGGAGCCAGGAGAGGCTGAGGCAGAGGCTGGGACGGGTGTGGGGTGGGGGGACAGGGCTGGGGGGACACGTCATATGCAGTGGGCGATGAACCCAAACCCTGGGACTCTGACCCGGGGAGCCGCCTCCGCTCCCCACGCTCCCAGCACCAGCCATGTGTGCGGGCTCAGGGCTGCCACCGTGCTCCACGGCCAACTGAATCCCCAGCCCCCTCAGCACGCCCCTTCCTCGGCCCCAGATTCTTCCTCCAGCTGGGTCAGGACAGGGTTCAGCCTCCCTCGTGGTCCCCCGGGGGGGGCGGGGTCAGACACACTTCAAAAGATTTGCAGGAAAAGGCCAGTGGGACCAGCGGCCTGGGCACGACCCCAGGGTCATCAGCCTGCTGGCCAGTGGGGACCTGACAGTCACTCACACTGGGGCCCCCACAAACTCTGGTAGCTCCAGTGGCCAAAGCCCCGCCCCCCCCATCCTAGAGATGCAGCCTGGTCTGGCCCCTCGACGCGTATTTCTAGTGCCAAGGTCAGAGGTCACTGGGAGCTGGGCGTCAGGGTGGGCCTCCAGCATGTGCCCCAACCCAGATGCATCCATTGGTCCCACCAGGGGGCTGTAGTGCGGCCCTGCCAGACAGATCCCACGAGAACGGGGTGGCCGGAGGGATGGTCGTGGACCCCCAGACTGTACCAGGCCCCCTTCCCCGGGCCGCGGTTCCCACGTCCCTTCCTACCCCGAGGCCACTGAGGACCTGCGCGGAGCTTGGCCCCCTGGACTTCATTTCCGGTCGAGGGCAAGAGGCCGCGGGTCTGTCCCAGCAATCACCAAGGGCCTGCGGGGGACCTGGGGGGGGCCACTCAGCGAGCGCCTCTGAGCCTCGGCCTCCTCTCACACAAGGGGGGCACCCCTTCCTGTGGACACCTCCCACGTGCAGCCTCCTTGGCGGGAAGCAGAGCCCGACCCATTACAGTGGACAAGGAGGATGATGATGAGGAGGAGGAGGAGGGAGAGGAGGATGAGGAGGAGAGGAGGACAAGAAGAGGAGGAAGAGAAGGAAGAGGAAGAGGAGGAGGGGGAGGAGGTGGAAGAGGAAGAGGAGGAGGTGGAAGAGGAAGAGGAGGAGGAGGTGGAAGAGGAGGAGGAGGAGGTGAAAGAGGAATAGGAGGAAGAGGAGGAGGAGGAGGAGGAGGGGGAGGAGGTGGAAGAGGAGGAGGAGGAGGAGGGGGAGGAGGGGGAGGAGGAGGAGGAGGTGGAAGAGGAGGAGGAGGAGGTGGAAGAGGAGGAGGAGGAAGAGGAGGAGCAGGAGGTGGTGGAAGAGGAAGAGGAGGAGGAGGAGGAGGAGGAGGTGGAAGAGGAGGAGGAGGAAGAGGAGGAGGAGGAGGAGGAGGAGGAGGAGGAAAGGGACCATCCAGCCCCACGCCTCGTGGCTGCCCCAGAAAGGTGCCGTGGCCTCCACATGCTAACGCTGACCTCCAGATCCTCCCGTCACCCTGCCCCCATCCCGAGCACCCATGGGCCCAGCTCCATGCCGGGCCCAGGGGGGGAGGCGCCGGCTATGGTGGAGTTCCGAGACGGATCCGCGTACGCCCCGGGACTTGGCTCAGCTTCTGCCATCTGGCAGCTTCACGCCGGCGCTGCCGGGAAGGCCCCGGCGTCGCCCCGCCCGGCCACTCCTCCCGTGGCAGCAGATGTAGGCGCAGCCCCAGCGCGGGGCTGGGGGTATTTTTGACTGGAGGTGTGACGTGGCGGCCCGCGCGGATATTTTTAGTCCTGCCCAGTGGGCGGTGCGCGTGCTCGGTTGCCGTGGAGAGGACTCCTAGGTGCTAAGTCGGAATCGCATCTGCCAGGGTTCCGGGGCTGGGCCCCGAGCCGGCCCTCAGCTCCCAGGGGCCGGCCCCCGGCTCTGCCTGCAGCGTCCCTCCCACCTGGCACTGAGAAACCAAACCGGACGGTCAGCCCAGCTCAGAGAGGCCAGGACGGGCTGCCCGGCCTCCCACGCACGCCGCCCCGGGCTGCAAGGAGCCGACCCTCGGGCAAGGGAAGGAAAAGTGTGTCCAAAGGCTGGGTAGCTCCCGAGCTTGGCTGTCCAGGAGACCAGCCGGGGGAGAGGAGGAGGAGGAGGAGGAAGAGGAGGAGGAAGAGGAGGAGGAGGAGGAGGAGGAGGAGGAGGAGGAGGAGGAGGAGGAAGGGAAGAACAAGGTGAAGGGGCCGGAGGGAAGGAAGGGGCGAGGGGCTGGAGCACTTCGGGGTGGGATGGGCAGTGCACACTCTGGCCTTCCGTCCACAGTAGGCAGTGGCTAGCGTCCACACCTGTGGCCCTTTAACCGGCAGGTGCTCTTCCATGTGCTCCTTCCTGTCAGTGTCTCGAGTACCCTTCCACGGGCCAGCAAGCAGTTGCCCCGTGGTGCAGTGGACATCATGGAGGGAGGAAGCCATGGACCCAAGTCTGCACACACAGACTCAATGCCGGGTGCGCTGGGTGCGTCCTCTCGCCCGTCTGCTCTCTGTGCGTCTGTGCTGGGGCCTCCAGGGCTGTGCCCAGGGGGGCCAGGGAGCCTCCGTGCACTCCTTCTGGAGCAGGCCAGACCCCAGGTGACAGGGACGCGGGAGGGAAGGCAGAGCTCCCCAGCTCCCTGCAGCCTGCCCTCCCCTGCCCGGTCCTCCGAGACCTCGGGAAGCCCCTGCCTCCCTCCCCTGCTCCCACTTGCACCTGGCCAGGCTGGCCCTTGCCCCCAGGACAGCCCGGTTTCCATGGGAACCGCTTGCTTCAAAGAGGAGCAAAGGAGATGGAGCAGCGCCAGCCAGCCAAGATGAACCAGCCTCGCCCAGCTCCCAGCACCCTCCTGCCATCCCCAGGGCTGGGTGGGGGCGGGGTGGGGGTGGGTCCCACCTCCAGAGTAGCATCGCCCGGGGGCCAGACACAATTCCCAGGATGTGCGTGCAGTCATGGGGTCTGTGTGGATTAGACAGCAAACATTAACCGAGCGGCCACACGGCGCTGCCGATTAGCCCAGATGATGCTCAGGTCTGATCCAATTACAACGGCTTTGGCCTCCCCTCTCCTCCGGCACCTACGCACACGCACGCATGTACACATGTACACACACACACACATAAACACACGTGTGCGTGTATACACAAACTCGTGTGCACACACAAATGTGTGCACATGCACATATATAAACACACACATGCATATACATAAACTACATGTTCACATGGGCTGGAGCAATAGCACAGCAGTAGGGCGTTTGCCTTGCGCACGGCCAGCCTGGCCGAGCCGGGTTCGAGAGCCCAGCAAGCTACTGAGAGTATCTCACCCTGGCAAGCTACCCGCGACATATTCAATATGCCAAACACAGTAACAACAAGTTTCACGATGGAGACGTTACTGGACCCGCTCGAGGAAATCGATGAACAACGGGAGGACAGTGTTACATGCTCACACACATAAATACACATGCACACATGTGCATACACACAGGCATGCGCCCGTTTGCACACACGCATGCATGCACATACACACCTGCACACACACCTGAATACGTGCGCATGCACACCAGACGGAACAGGTGCGTCTCGCTAACTCATCTTCACACACAGATGAAGCCGCGGGGGCTCCCCAGCCTGGTGGAGGCTGGTAGGGAAGGAGGCTGGGAGGGGGGTGGCACCAGGGGCACAGGTGAATGGGAAGAGAAGGGGTGTTGTTCAGGGCCCCTCATCTGACCTGGGGGGGCAGGCGTGAGTCCCACCCGGGGTGTGTTTGTGTGTGGGGGGGAGGCCCGTGTGTGTGTGTGTGTGTCTCCGTGTGTGGCCGTGGGCTGTTTGTTCACTTATTCACCGACCCTTCTGGGGGGTCTCTTGGGTGCTCGACCCCCCAAACCGTTTCTGTCCCTCACTTCCCTGACCATATCTGCCGAGACTGGCATGTGGTCGAGGAGAGCCGCCCTTTGCTGGCTTCTGGAACTTTCCATTCCATAGCACACGGGGGAGGGGGGGAAACCTTCCTTGGTTCTCAGCTGCGCTCAGGCCTGGCCCTCCTCAAGCCCCTCCCTGGGGACCTGAGCGGGCGCTGAGGGCCTGTCCCCTCTGCACAGGAGGCCCCTGGGGGGGCTTACTAACTGCAGATCAGGGCCCTGCTGCTGAGGGGGGCAGCTTTGCCTTGGGCGCTCCCAGGCTCCGGCCCCTGCCTCCATCTGTGTCCCCCAGAGCAAGCAGCACCCCGGCACCCCTCAGCCAGCAGCCTGGTCACCCGGCCTGTGGGTAGACATGGCTCTGGAACAGACGGGACCCCCTGTTGCCCCTTAGCCTTCAAGGAGAACCCACACCTCCAGCAGGGCACACACACACACACACACACACACACTGACTGTGCCCGGTCCCCGCACTCAGAGCCCTGGGGTACCCATCAGGTGGCCCCTGGGGAGGGTGGGAGACCTACCTGAGGCTGACCATCTAAGTCTGCGGGGACAGGAGGGTTGGGACTGAGTGGGGGGGGTCAGCTGTCCCCCAGGCACCCCCAGTCCGCTCGCTGCTACATCCCAGAGGGCAAACAAGGTGCAGGCACAGAAAGCCCACCGCAACTATCCACTGAGGGTTCCGAGGCGCTAAGGAGGGCTCAGGTCCAGGGGCGCGGCCAAGCCCAGACCATCCCAGGAAGCCAGTCGGGCCTCCGTGGCCGGCGGGGGATGGATGGGCCTGCGTGCGGCCCCTGGCACGGGCTGCCTGCGCGGGCTCTGCGCCTACCTGTATACAGCCCGCTTGTCTGCCTCCAGCTGGGCCTGCGGGTCGACGGGGGCGCTGGGAACGGGCGTGCTGGCCGCGGCCGCCGGGGCGGGGATGTGCACTGCCTGGGCCTTCGAGGGCGTCTGCGCGGTCGCCGTCATCTGCAGAGGGAAAAAAGCGGGGCAGGGCGCTGGGGGGCCATGCAGGAGATGGGTGTCCGTTTGTGCCTGGGCCGCCGTGGGCAGAGAACATTCTAGACCATCCCAACTCTGAGGGTGCCAGTAGCATTTGAGGTGGGGGCAGTGGGAGAGAAAGAGAGAGAAGGGAGAGAGAGGAGAGAGAGGAGAAAGAGAGGAAGGGGGGGAGAGGAAGAGAGCGAGAGATCTTCCTGCAAAAGGGGTGATTCTGGGGCTGCCGTTCCGTCGGGCCCTGGTCTCTGGGCAGCACTGGCCGGAGGACAAGCACTGCCACACTCTGAGGGCCGGAAAGCGCTGACTCAGGTCTCGGCGGGCTGGGGGCAACTCCAGGTGAGCCCAGGGGTGGGAAGCAGGGATGGGGGGGCGGGCCTACACCTTGGTCCGTGTCTGAGGGGGGCTTTTCACACTGCTCAGAGCTGCCCAGAGACAACCGGCCCGTCTGAAAAGCACCGCTCAGGGACAGCGGTGGACGTGGTGCCCCACGAGGAGGGGACTGAGGGGACCCCAGTCAGTCTGGCCTCAAGGGGCTCCCAGGCCCATGCTGGGCTCAGAGGGGTCGTGCACATCATGCGCCCCCACAGCGCCGGGGATTGTGGTGGGCCGGGGACTCTGCAGGGCCTGGGTCCCCCGGTTGGTGGGGGGAGGAGGAGTCGAGGCCAGGCCTGGTCAGTCATGGCCCCTGACCCTCTGCAGCCCCCAGGGCAGGCGCCAGACCCCTCTGAAGGACTGGATGCGGGGAGGCAGTGGCCCAGGAGCCACAGAGGAGAGAGAGCAGACAGCGCCACTGCGGATACCCCCAGCCAAGCCTCGCCGGACAAGCAGGGCTGGCTCAGAGCCACAGCAGCCTGGATTAGTGGGCAGAAGCTTCCAGAACATCAGGCCTCTGTCACTTGCTCTCTGATCCTGGAGCTGAGCAGACAGAATGAGGCAGGGAAGGGTCCGAGGGGGCTCCAACAGGGCTGGAGGAAGCTCGGGGGTAGGAGCAGGCTCCATCCTTGGTGCCAACCATCCCCTGAGACCCCAGCCCTGCACCCTCAGGCCCTCACAGAGCATCGTGGGGAGGGGCCCGACCTCCTGAGCACTGCATGGGGAGCCCCCCCCACACACACTCGAGGGGCAGGGGCTGCAGAGTGCCCAAGGCCATGCTCGTGGTCTCCCCGGCACACTTCTGGGTAACTGTCTGAATCCAACCTTCCCAGCAACCTCTGGGGAGGCCTCCCTTGGGCGACAGTCCCCATCAGTGGTCTCCGGAAAGTCCTCAGGGGGCGTGTCCAAACAACAGTGTGTGTATGTGTGTGTGTGTGTGTGTGTGAGAGAGAGAGAGAGAGAGAGAGAGAGAGAGAGAGAGAGAGAGAGCGAGCATGTGTGAATGTATATATGAGCGTGTAAATGTGAGGGTATGTGTGTGTGTGTCAGTGTATGTGAATGTGGAATGTGGGCATTGTGACAGAGTGTGTCAGTGTGTAAATGTGTGTGTCTGTGTGCATCAGAATGTGAGATTGTGTGAGCATATGTGTGATTATGTGTTAGTGTGTCAGTGTGCGAATGTGTGAGTGTGTGAGCATGTGACCATGGGTGTGAGAATGTGTGTGACAGTGTGAGCGTACGTGTGACCATGTGTGTGCAAGTGTTTGAATGTATGCGAGTGGATGTGTGACCGTGTATGTATGTCTGTGTGAATGTGTGTGTGAGCGGATGTGTGATGATGTATATGTCAGTGTGTGAGTGTGTGTGTGTGTGTGTATGTGTGTATCAGTGTGTGAGGGGTCATCTCCAGTCAGACACTCACATTTGACGTGCTTCTCACGTTCCTAACAGACAGGAGAGTCACTGACGTCCAGTCCCATGCAGGTGACAGGAGAGGGGCAGGGGACAGGACACAAGGTCCTTGTCAGGCAGGGCCGTGAGTTCCCTGGGGCAGGCGCAGACTAGCCGGCAGCTGTGAACGCCCAGAGCTCACCCCCAGGACACAGGGCCACGGGGTGCCGGACACTGCAGCCGAGCTTCTCTGCTCTCCGTCCTTCACGGGACGGGGCCGGCTCCAAGGACACAGCCGGGGTGGGGCGGGGGAGCCCTGCCAGGCTGCCCAGACACCAGAGCTCCGAGCAGCGGGCCCTGGACGGGACGGAGCAAGTTCCGGAGCCGCTAAGGCTGCGGCTGCCGGGCTCACCTGTTCCCTGGTTTATTTTAAGCGCGGGTACTTGGGCCCTTAAACTATTTTTGTAGCTGTTCAGGACGCCCGCCCTGCTGGAAGGCAAGAGTGTGGACACGTTTAAAAACAAACAACAACAGCAGGTAAACAGAAGGCAGAGAGGTCTGTGCCGGGAGTAGCCGACCAGGCCGGCCCAAGCCCAGATGTGCAGCTGCAGCTGCTCCGGGCAGGCCCAGGGACCCAGGGGGGTGTGCTGCCAGTTGCCGGGTGGCTGGGAAGGGCCACATGGGCGGGAGCCGGGTCAGAGGCACATCCTGCATCCACACCAGGCCAGGGCAAGAGGTCACGGGGACAAAGAAAGGCCCAGTGAAAAGAGAAAGAGGTCAGGGGCTTTGATGAGCTAGAACCAGGGGTGGGGTGGCCTGGGGCGGTGGGGGGGGGGGGCGCAGGGGTGAGGGTTCTTCAACATCGCCCAGCGACTCTCAGGCCTCAGGCAGCCTCTGGAGACCATGGGGGCAGCCCCGGTGCCCGGCACAGCTGCCTGCCCACGTGGGCCTGCTCCCAGCCAGGGGTCTGCCACCCTGCCAGCCTCCCACTAGTGAAGGCAGCATGGGGACCCCAGTGGGAACAGGCCAGAGAGGGAGGGGAGGGGAGGCCCCAGGGGACAGGGGAGACGGCACTTCAGCCCTCACCCCTGCCAGGACCCCCAGGTCTTAGGGGGCGTCTGCATGTCCTGACCCCCAAACTGTCCTGAATCCCACACGCCACTCCCAACTCCAGGGGCTGTGGGAAGACGGGGAGGACAGAGGTATCCCACAACAGCTGCTCTAGCCTGTCCCCAGGGGGGCGCTCTCACTGAAGCCTCTCAGTGGGTGCCCGCTGACCCGGTGGGCACCTGTGCGCGTGGGGACAGGAGAGCAGCTCCAGGACAGGCCTGCTGGGGCGGTATCGGGGACGGGGGCAGCAGAGGCTGGGGTGAAAGGGCTGGGGTAGGGGGGTGGGGTGGGGGAAGCGGGCCGCCTGGGTGGGCCAGGGACACTGGTGGCATTCCCTGGAGTAGGTGAGGGACATTTCAGAGAAAGGGGTGCGGGTGGGGGACGAGGGGCGGGGTCTGGGCCAAGACAGTGTGACTGACTCCTGTGACAAGGCTTGTGTGTGTGTGTGTGTGTGTGTGTGTGTGTGTGTCTGGGGGTCAGATCCCCAGGAGAGGGGAGGCGGGAGGCAGGGATGAGAAAGGAAGGAGAGGGATGTGGGGGGTCCGCACAATGCACTGAACGCAGGGGGCTCGCCAGGGCCTCGGGAGACAGACACAATGTTTCCTAAACACCCAAACACTCCAGCTCCCTTCCCCCACCCCACCCCCACCCAGCTGGGCTCAGGCTCCACAGCAGGATGAGGCCGCCGGCGGATGAGGCCGCCGGCGGGAGGGACGTTCCACAGCTGGACAGCAGAGGGCGCTGCTGCCCTGGCAGACGGGACCTGACCGGAGGAGCCCGCAGCCCCAGGGCTGGCCCTTGGGACCCTCGAGGGTCTGCGTCAGGGGTCCGTGGACAGGGCCACGCGCGCACTCTCGCGTGGATTTTCTCTTTCATTCACCCACACGGAATCGAGGGTCCGGGAGCTGCGGGACCTCGAAGATCGGTTGGCCTCTATGGGGATGCCAGGGGGCTGTGATAACCATTAGTGACCAAATCAGGGCGGGGGGGGGGGGGAGGGCAAGCCTCGCTCAGTTTTAATAACTTTATTCCCTAAACTTCAAAAAATGATCAATTGCCAACTTGAGAACTTGCCTTGGGGGATATATATACATATACATATATACATATATATGTGTATATATATATATATATATATTTTAGGTCTGGGGCTTGGGAATCTTTTTTGTTTTAATTGCAGACTCCTGATTTTCCAAAGCGGGTGTTTCTGTGTGCATTCTGAACGGAGCCTGCTCGCCTCAGCCAGCCCCGTACGCTGCGGTGCGTTATTAGAATGGCTGCCAGGGTCTACGAGGGTCTCTCTGGTATTCGAGGGGGGGGCGAGGGGGCACTGGAGGGTTCCGCTAGCGTTCTGCCAGCAGAGACTGGCCCTGGGGGCCCTGGGGAAGAAAGTGGGTTTCTGACAGCCTAGGCTCTTGCCCTCCTGGGGTGATGAAGGAGGGGAGGGGTGAGGGGACAGCGGGGAGCTGAGGCTGAGGGGGCAGAGAGACCCCTCACTGGAGGGTCCCAGAGAGCGGGGAGACGCGTCCCCCAAAGCTTGACAGGCTCCAGAGCCCAAAGCCCAGAATTTTCCCTCCGAGTGCAGGGTTGTTGTGGGGACCCCATCTCTATCCCACCTATGCCATCCCTGCCCTCACTCCCACCGACCCCCCGAGTGACCTAGACAAAGCCACCAAGACCCCCGTCCTCGGCCTGGCCTTTCACCGTGGACACTAACACTCACGGGGACCCCTTCCTGCCTGGGGCCACCAGAAGGCCTGGAGTCCCACACACACCTGAACTCATCCTTTGCTCCAACTGGAATGTTCTCAGCGTGCATCCCTGCGCCCAGTGCGGTGGACGCTGAGGCCCTGGAGGGGGCTTCCCTTGTCCCCCTCTCCAGAGCTAAGACCCTCGGTGGCCTGAGGGCAGGTCTGGGCACCCCGGGAGAGCTGGGAGGCCCCACGGTCTGGCTGCCCTTGGGAATCCCACAGAGCAGACTGCAGGGCCTGACCCTCGGGGCCCACTGTACTCTGCGCACCCCCTTCCCTACCCTGGAGATCGGGGAGCAGCATCCAGCCACAAAGGAAACGGAGCCAGAGTTCCGGAATCTTCCTCAGTTTGGGGCGCACTCAGCAGAGCATGGGGCTACTCCTGGCTCAGTGCTCGGGGCAGAAAACTGGGCCTCGGGCGTGTGAAGCCTGTCCTTTAGGCCTTCCGTGCCGGCGCCGTGGCCCACAGGTGCTGAATCTTTTTGGGGGACCCACCCCTGGCGATGCTTAAGGGCCACTCAGCGGGGGGGGGGCGGTCCTTCCGGCTGGGAGACCGTGTGGTGCCAGCGACTGACCGAGGGCCTCCTGCATGCAAGCACAGTCCCAGCCCGCTGGGCCATCTCTCCCTCAAGCAGATGGGAACATCTGCTGAGTGAGGGGTGACGCTGGCCCCAGGGCGGGGCGACGCAAACACCAGGCTGGGTGCAGGGCTGAGGCGGGGAGGGCTGAGGGAGAGGGGGAGCGGGTATGGGGTCTGAGGGAGGGGCCCATGTGCTCCCCATGCTGCCAGGGTACCCTGGAGGGCCAGGGAGGCCAGGCCAGGCTCCCCTAGGCTGGGGGCCAGGGCCAGAGCCCCAGCTCTGTTCCCCCTCTCCTGAGGGCAGAGGGCCTGCCGGTGCAGGTTTTTGGGGGGGTGGGGCGACTCACCTGCGGGCTGTCCTGGTAGGGAGGGGCCGGGACACTCTGCGTGGCCATCATGGTCAGAGCAGGGGCTGGGGAGGCATGCTGCATCCTGGGGCGATTCACATGGAGGACCTGGGCGGGAAAGGGCCAGCGTGAGCCTGAGGGCGGGGCAGGGAGGAAGGGCCACTCGCCCGCACCTCGCACCCCCACCGATGTTCAGGGGTCACTCCTGGCTCTGCACTCAGGAATCACTCCTGGCGGTGCTCAGGGCCATCTGGAATGCCAGGGACTGAACCAACTGGGTTGGCCACGTGCAAGGCAAACACCCTCCACACCACACTCGGGCTCCGGCCCCCCTGATCTCCTTCTGCTGCAGCCAGGGGGGCGTGGATGGAGCCGGCAGAAGTGTGGGATCCCCACCACAACCCTCCCCCCCCCCCCCCCCCCCCCCCCCCCCCCGCCCAACCCCACCCCCAGGCCTCCAGGCTCCTTCCTGAGCCCCACCAGCCAGGGTCCCTCCGCGGCCCCTCCCCAGGGCCTCTGAAAGCAACGCCCAACTCTCAGAGCTGCCAGGAGGGAGTGTGCAGGGCTGTGTCTGTGTGCACAAGTGTGCGTGCATGTGAGTACACGTCTGTGTACGTGGGTATCTGTATGGACGGGAGCACACATGCCTGCATGTTCGTAGATGCATGTGTGCATATGAGTACATGGGTCTGTGTGCATGTGTGTATGTGTCTCTATGTGCACAGATATGTGTGTGAGCATGCATGTGTGAGTGCACGCATGTGTGTCTCTGTATGCAAATAAACGTGTTTGTGCACGGATGTGCACATCCAGGTGTCGGTACGTATGTGTATCTCTGCCACTGAGCATGCACGTGTGTGTGTGCACATGCTTCTTTGTGCGTGTCTGTGTGCACGTGTGTGTGCGCGCATGAATGTGGGGTGCTGTGTGGATTCCCTTCCCGTAGGGGAGCTCAGCCCCCACCTGCCCTCACTCTGACGCTGGGGCTCCTCATCACTCACGGGGACCATTACAGGGACCTTTCTGGGCCGGGAGGGCAGGGGAGAGGAGGGAGGGGCCAGTCCCTAGGAAGTGGGGGAGAGAGCCTTCCCTGCACCTGCCCCAGCCACACAGAAGCAGGATGGCCTGGGAGTCAGTCAGCCCCGCACACCCCAGAGCTCCAGCACACCCTGCCCACCCACCGGGCCCAGGGAGCTTTTGTTCTGGGGCTGTCCGGGAAGGGGGGGGGCAGGAGAGAGGGAAGGGGAGGGCAGAGCAGAGCGAGGGACGGTTCCCAGAGAGTGACCAGGAAGGACAGGGGAGAATTCAGGAAGGAGTGCGCTTCAGAGTCATGGGGCCTCTCCTCTGCACCTGGGGGGCCGACTGGGAGCAGGAGCTCGGGGAGGGGGAGGGGGGCTGGGACAGGGGAGGCGGCTCTGCTGGGCAGGGGCTGCTGTGCCCACGGTGTCCAGGAGGGGGCGCCAAGGGGCAGCACACCTATGTGTGTCTGTGTGTCTAAGTCTCCGTGTGTTGTGTATGTGTCTGTGCGTGCGTCTGTTGTGTGTGTCTGTGTGTGTGTCTGTTTGTCTCTGTGTGTGTGTCTGTGTTTGTCTCTGTGTGTGTGCGTGTGACTGTGTGTCTTTGTGTGTCTGTGAGTCCGTGTGTGCAGGGAAAGGCAGCCCAAAAGGGAGGCCCCTCCCCCCACAGCTGCACTGGGGGGGGGCCCTTCCGGGGGGGGGGGCCCTTCCGGGGGGGGGGGGGCTGGAGAGCCTGGAAGTCTTTATGGAACAGGGGCTCTGTGGGGGCTTTGGGGCTGAGCGGCAGGAAGAGCAGCGTGGAGGCTGCAGACTGGGACAGGCTGCAGCTGAGTGCTGAGGACCCAGATGGGCTGCCCTCCCCCATCTCTGGGGTCACCACGGGCCATTCGGCCGCTGCCCCGCTGCCCTCCGGGGGCTTCTGCCAGAGAACAGGAGGCCTTTTCATCAGGGCTTAAGTCTGCTCTGCTCTGCTCTGCTCATGGGGGGCACAGAAGCCTCTGGAAACCTGATGCGGGGGGGAGGTGGACCCCAGTCTCCGGAAGCTCCCCCTCTCCCTCCACCCACACATGCTCTGCTGCCTCCTTCTGGGGCCAGGCGCAATCAAGTGGAGCTACCCTGGGAGAATGTGGGGGCCATCTCAGAGGGATGGTTCCCGGGATCCCCAAGTCTCGCAGGTTCTTGGGGGCGGCTGGAGGGGGACGGGTCTGGCTCTGTGAGTTGACACCAGTGCCCCTACGTGGGGTCCTGGTCCCTCCAGCAGCGTCCACCTCAGTGCTGAGAGCCCTCGTGTGAAGGCAGGAGAAGCCCCGGGGTGACCAGAAATGCTGGTGGCGCTCGCCAAGACGTCCCAAGGAAGAGTCGAGAAATGCAGCGTCTCTGGCCAGTGGCGAGCGGGCCATGTGCATGTGTGTGCATGTGTGCACCACATGTGGGTGTGCATGTGCACGTGCATGTACATGTGTGCATGTGTGGGTGTGCATGCTTGTGTGTGCATGTGCGTGTATGTGTGCGTGTGCGTGTGTGTGTGTTGCGTGTGCGTGTGCGTGTGCGTGTGCGTGTGTGTGTGTTGGGGGCTCAGCCCCAGCCGGACTCGGAGTGTTGACAAACAGGCTGGAGCCGCCGCCAGCTCGTTAGGCAGGAGCTCATTAGGACTTGTTGACATGAAACCCATTAGACCAATTAACATTCCATTAACAGCCGGGGCACCAAGGGGTTAGCGCTGCCCGCCAGTAATTGGGCCAGGGTGCCAGGCGGGGGCTCGGGGCCTTCAGGACGAGAAACAAAGTGTAACGGGGGCCACTCTGGCCAGCTGGCCCCAGCAGAGGGAGAGGGGAGGTGGGGTGGGCCGGGGGGGCTCCCCTGTGCACCCCTAACCGGGACTGGAGGCCAACCCAGAGCTCGGTTTTCTTCCCACAGGAAGGGGGTCTCCCTCCTCTCGAGAATCTCGGGAAAAGTCCTAAGAGGGGCCGGACCCCTCAGCAGGGTGGAGGGACGGATTCCCAGATCCCTGCAAGGAGTGGGGGTTCAGGGCAGGTGGCCTGTTGCTGTCCCTCTGGCAAGGCAGACGTGGGGACCCCTATTCCCTGTATGGGCCGGCTGGGGGTCTCAAGGGTCCAAACCCACTCTCCCCTCCAGGCCTGGGTTTGGGCCCAAAGTCTGGACTCTATATCCTGACGCCCCCTCCCCCCCACCAGCTCAGCGACTTCTCTGTGACCCCCAATAAGCCACTTTCCCCTGCTCAGGCAAACAGACGGCAGGAGAGTCCGGTGAGGGTCCCCAGGGCGCTGAGGAGGGGAGCTGACCGCCTCCGCCTTCCAAGGCCGGCCTTGCCCTGCCCCAAGCCCCAGGTGGTCACCCCCAGCCCCCCAGGCCCCTTTGAGCAGCTGCCAGGCCGGTTCTGACGTCTAGACAGATTTGCAGGAGGCTGAAATAACACCACGAACCCGGCAGGAGGGATGCACGGCTGCCTCAGTCACCTGACCAGCCCCCACCTCTGGGGGCACGGGGCCACGGGCCTGGTGGGCGCCCCCGCCCCTCCCGGGCCCCCTCCCAGCCCCCTCCGCGCGGCGCCGTTCCCAGCGGCTGCCTGCAGGTGGCGCCGCAGAGCCCGTTTTAATCGCATTATATAATGGAACCTGTTTACTAAATCTCGTAATCAGTTGCCTCAGGATTTACAGCTTCGGATGTGTATACAGAATTGGACTTTGAGTCAAATTTAAAAACAAATAAAAATGAGAGGCAGCTGTTGCTGATAGTGTGATATTCATCTTTTGGAAACAAATTCACCCCACTGCTATAAATTATGCCTGGGAAAAAAAAACGTGTTGTAGGTGGGAAGGAGTTGGCACCGGCTCCCATGCTGGCAAGCCGGGGCGATGGATCTTGAAATAACGGTGTCAACCTGTCACTGGTTTCATGTGACTGTGGATTTATCTAAGGAAAGGCAGGCACAGACACACGAATGCACACACGCACACGCTCACATACATTCACACACATACCACACGTTCACACACACATGCTCATACACGTTCACACACATACACACTCTCACACAATACACAATGCTCACACACACTCGTCTATGAATACTCACACTCACACACATATACAATGCTCACACACAGACACTCAGGTGCACACACAACAGTCACACACATATACACGCACACACACATACACATATGTGGATACACACTACACATTCATACACAAACATGCTCACACACATTCATACACATTCACATGCTCAAATACACTCTCCTATGCACTCATACAACACATTCACACACGGTCACATACACACATAACACATATACAAATCATACACATACTCAAATCCACACATATCCACACACTCACTCATATAGATTCTCTCTCTCTCACACACACACACACACATACACACACATGCTCCAGGTATCTCCCACGGTCCCAGGAAGGGTTAGAAACCAGAGCTCAACACAGAACATCCTGTGCCTTGGGGAAGGGGTCAGCACTGGGCGGGTGACACTATGTGGGGACACTGAGAGGTGGGAGGAGAGAGAGCAAGGACAGGTGATTTGGGGGGGGCTGTGAAATGGGGGACGAGGGGAAGTGCTTGGAAATGAGAAAGAAGAGCAGGCTCTGGAGGAATGAAGGGAAGGCCTTTCCTCATGACCCCGCACGGCCCCTCACGGTCTCTCATGGCCTCTCATGCTCTCTCATGGCCTCTCATGGCCCCTCACAGCCCCTTGCTGGGCCTCTGTCCCTGGCATCCCCTCACTCAGGGCTTGTGGGAGCTCAGGGGCCCAAGGGTCCCTAGCGAATGCTGCCCTGTCCCCCCAGCCCTTGTTTTCAGACCCTGAGGTGCCAGCAGCTGGTGGTCATCTCCGCAGGCCCTGAGCCTGCTCCGGCCACACCTGCTCCCGTAGGGCCATGGGGGGTCCCGCGCTGGGCCCGAGTCCAGGTCTCTGCAGCTGGTGCCGACCCGGAGGAAGAACCCTGACTGAGCAAGGAGCAGTGGACGTGCTGGGCACCAGCTCATTCCCCCCACCTGGGGAACGGGCAGGGGGCGCTGCTGTCCGGGCCCCCCCCCCCCACTCCGCTCCA